AACCAAAAGGGCACATTGGGATCATGGAGCAAAAGGGGCAGGTGCTCAAGCCCCCTTAGCCCCCCCCTCTGCACGTGCCTGGTAAAATGCGTTTCTGATGGAGCAAGTATAGCATTGGTAAAAGACTGAGGGTTTGGATAACAATGGATTGGAAACTCACAATTTACTGTTCACTGCTAAATGGATCCTGACACTCCTAAATTTCTAGAGTACCATTGCAGCATCCATCCACCAGATCACATCTAAGCAGGTTTATTAATAGTAATTTGAACGCCTAAAAGCTCAAAGTAATATATATATATAGTGATAAAACACAAAAGTCATATAAAAAAGAGGCAAATCAGAGCACGCCTGTAAAATCTGTTCACCTCCAGTGTTTGGCAACACAACCTCTAGTTCTACAGCAAACACACAAGGAAAAATTTACTTCCACCTTCAAGGAAATGTGGACTAACAGGGATAAAATCAAAACCAGTTCTTTAAAGACCAAGTCCTAGACTAAACTCTCCTAGACCTAGACTGAATTCTCAAAGACTGCAAACTCCTAGACCTTGGCTGCACACACCTGGACCACACCCTCCTAGACCTAGAACACACTCTCCTAGACTGCACTTTCTGTATGGCACCCTCCTTGATTCTGCCCTCTTTGACCTAGACTGCGTCCTCCTAATCCTAGACTGCACCCTCCTAGACCTTACCCTCCTACACCTATACAGCACACCCCTGGTCCATTGACTGCACCCTCGGATACGGGACCCCCCTGGACCTAGACTGCAACCTCCTATTCGCACCATATCTGCAGTTGAGGCAGTCACACTGGAAGACGTAGACTGACTCAAACTCCAAACCACATATATACCAAAATAACAAAATGATCAATACATTCTGATGAACTTATACATCACTTGCTGTTTTATCTATGAATGTAATTTTGATAGTTGAGAAAAATATCGTAATATATATACAGTGATATTGCAATATCGTGATATCATTTCGTGACCCAACAATTGTGACTTGTATCGTTTTGCAACACCCATACCAATACTCACCCCTAATTGGAACATCTAAGGCTCATCCAGGCCTTGTCAGCACATTGCAAGTAAAATCTAATCTGCTTATGAAATATATCTGGATTTTAAATCTAGTATAAACAGGAGTGTTATGTCTGTTTGATGATCTAGCATTTTCTAGAAAAGGTTTTGCTTTGGTAATGACAGACGGAACCTGGAAAGCGTTACCAAAAAAATGCTGAAACAAAACATAACGTCATTTACTTAAAAAATGATGTTAATTGAAATTATAATCTATGACACAGTAAAACCACAAAATCTTATCTTTAACCGATCTTTTCAAATATAATTATTTCCAAATAAGATGATGATGGCAAAAATCATACCCCTTTATAAAAGTGATGGCCATTTCTATTCAAATTAATGACCAGTTTTTCCATTAGCTCTGTTTCAAAGATATTAGAAAAGAAATTATTGTAAAAAGACTAGATAACTAGAAAATCAAATTTATGATGTTATGAACAGTTTGGTTTCAGGGCAGGTCGGTCCACTTCAGCAGCCGTAATGAATGTATTGCTTGTGCGATAAATGAGAAATACACAGTGGGGATTTAAAGAACCATAAATCAAAGCTAGTTGTTCAATAATTATTATTATTCAGGCCGTGCATATGCATGGCTGGTGAGTTATCCTGAAAATGGCTTCCAGTTCGTATGTTATAAGACTTGGAAATCAGAAATACTGAGGGGGAAATGTGGGGCTCCATGCTGGCCCCTTAGCTGTTCATTAGATCTATTAATCATATCTTTAGGGCTTCAGATGGGCTAAAATAGGTTACAGTTACAAATAACAGATGACTTTATTTTGTTCATGGGGAAACCAGATTCTCAGTGTTATGAAGAAAGGACTTGATAAAACTAAATAAAAGATTTTATATCAACTAATTTTCTTTTATAAAACAAAAAAAAAAACTGGGTACAGACATTAAAAAATAGCAAATTAAATGAAGTCGTTTTGGAAAGTGTCTAAAATAAATTTCTTAGGAAATTGACTGCAAATTAATCTGGAAATCTCACCTAGTTTTCACACAGACAAAATTGATTAAATAATACTACCATATTAATGCTATACTGTTATCTCATTTACCATTTATCGCCTACTAGTTACAAAATCCAAAATATAGGCTGCGGAAAAGAGTCATAAGGACAATCATTTATTCAACATATAATCAATCTACCAAACCCAGATTTCTTCCTTTTTAAAGCACTAAAGTTCAGTGATCTTGTATATCTTTATACTTCATTGGTAATGTATAAAATGAAAAAAAAGGTTATAAATTAGAGAAAGTAAATCTAATCTCGGCTAGTGGATATGTTTGGAGATTAACTATTTCTGGTAATGTTGGGAATTTATGGAATAATCTTTATCAAGAACTGTAACTCGATTTCATACTTTGAGAAATAAAAACTTCAAATAGAGTAAGAGTATGTTCTGTTTGACATTGTCTCCTAGAAATCTTTTCAGCTAGATGGAAAGTAGGGTCAGTGCTAAAAGATAGGATCAGCTTAAGCCTTTTTGGTGAAATACAAATATGTTGTATTTTAGTAACATGGTTTAAAATTTTATTTTACCAAAATAAAGGAAATTTAAAATTCAGTGCAGGGTTTGGATTTTAATTTGAAACGTTGCTTGTGTGTGGCTAAAGGACAGTATTGCATTAGTGTTGCTGTTTGTTCTTTCTGCTTCTATTTAATTTAGTTTTATTTAGTTTATTCATTCATCGGAGGATGCGCTGAATCCCTCCTAGCGCATTAACTAACGCAGGACGTCACACATGGAAGGAAGTCCTGAGACCAATCAAACCCATTTTTCTCTCGGCAGGATCCGTCCATCCGAGGAATCTTCCATTTTTCGGGGAAAGAGCAGATGACCAAGTATGAGATGGCTGTTGCCATGGCGCAGGCCTTCAACCTGCCGTCCAATCACCTCATCCCTGTGAGTCAGCTGACTTTACTGGGCAGCACCCAGTGAGCTGTTTAACTTGATGAATTTAGTTGCTTGTTTCAGATGGTTCTGTTGTAATGGTGTCTCTGTAACGTCCACAGCTGACTGAGCAGCCAGCTGGGTCAACTCCTCGTCCAATCAACAGCCAGCTAAACTGCTCCCGCCTGGAGCTGCTGAACCTGAGCGTCGAGCCTCGAGCGTTCTCCACCTCCATCGTGGAGTGTCTGTGGCCGTTCACGGCTGACAAACGTTGGAGACAGACCGTCTTTCACTGAGGGATTCTCGTTCAGCTGAAACAGGATGAATCTTAGCTAATAACTGCTTCAAATGTGAAAACAAAAGTTTTGGTTTGAATTTCTTCCTCTTTGAAACGTCCCTAAAGATGCATGTGTTGGAGTCCTGTTAGCCCCCTGAAGGCTGCATCCATGATGTAGAAACTGAAGTGACTCCGCTTTGTCTCAGTGTAAAGAGACTGAGTTTATCTGTCCACCCTAACTGCTCCTCAGTGTTTGAATTAAATCTAATTATGGTTTGGATTGTTCACATTAATCAGCTGCACCTCTTATCTGATGTCACTGACATGTTAGTAATAATAGATTATCCACAGATGATGTATATATGTTAACAGCATGAAACTGAGTATTTGTTGCTGCTTAATTAATTAAATGATAATAAAAGAGGTTGAATATCTTATTTTGTCAGTAAATGTCATCAGAGGTAAAAACTGATCTGATCTGAGTTATATTGCCCCCTATAGGTTGGAGTCCAACTGGTCTTGTATCCAGTGTAAGCCACGTTTATAACCGGCAAACTTTTTGAGGAAAACCTGATCGAATTCGGAGAGATGGCATCCATCCTACTTTGGATGGTCAAGCTCGTCTTTTCTAGGAGTCTGGCCAAATGTTTTTCTCTTTCAAACCCTGACATACTAGGGTACGAGGAAGCAGAGTCGCACTTGAACACACCTTTCTGCAGTTTCTCGTCTGTTACCCAGTTTTTATTTGTGAGTTAATTATTCTTGCCCATGACCAAAACCAAATCAATTGGAAAAGAATCTCACATGCAGTACAGTACATCATCCATCCATCCATTTTCTAACATGCTTAATCCCAAGTGAGGGGTGCTGGTGCCTATCTCCAGCTGTTAATGGGCGAGAGGCGGGGTACACCCTGGACAGGTCGCCAGTCCATCACAGGATGTACATCATGATTATCTAATTAAATGTGCTTTATTTAACATATCTCTTCAAAAAGTGTTAGTTAATGACTTGATTTGTGATAATCAAATAGATTTATTGCCTTATAGAAACTTGGCAACAGCAAGAGATTATGTGAGCATAATTGAGGCAAATCCCTCTGGCTATTTACATTTGCATATACCGTTCCATATAAATTCTGTGTGAGGAGCAGCAACATTCTTTCATTCTGATGTAATGATTACTCCAAAGTCATTCCAACTGAGTCTGAGAATCTTTAGTATACTCCCAAATCATTTACAACTCTCTTGAATATTTAACCCTTAGTTTCCCTCATCCAAATTTCAAACCAACAAAACCTTTTCTTTTTGTAACTTTGTATCGTTCATTAGGTCCTTAAGCTGAATCTTTAGATGAGTTTTCAGAGTTCCTATCAGATTTAGTACCGACAAGGTCATCATAGTGGGAGATTTTACCATCCATGCTGACATTGAAGGTGATGGATTAAATTTAGCATTTAATGCTATCTTAGACTTGACTGGCTTTATTCAAAATGTGACTAGTCCCTCACATTCTCTTCTTCATACACTGAACATTTTGGTGACGTGGTATTGTCCTCAATTTTTAATAAACGTCAACATTACTTTAACAGAGTTCTCCTGCCCAAAAAAGGGAGGTTTAATTTCAGCAGATAGTTATAGGATAATGCAGTTATATATTGTAACGAATCTGTTCCACTTTCCAGTTCCTCTGTATCATTGAACAATACAGCAGAGGGCAACCATTTTATTCTCCTTCTAAAATGGATGATTTTGTTGATGGAGTTACTAGTTCTCTGCATACTGCCTTAGACAAAAGGCCCCCATTTGTAAAGAAAACCTGGTTTAATGCAGAGCTGCACAATTTGAAGCAAAATGCTATGAAATTGGAGAGAAAATGGTGCTCTACATGCCAACAGGAATCCTACCTAGTCTGGTGAAACTGTTTACTGCTGTATAAAATGAGATCATTTGCATTTCCTCCAAATATGATTTTTTTTTTTCTTCTCTAGAAGGCTAGTATGCATCTTATGTAACTATAGAATCTGAGCCATGTTTAGCCCGTTATAAACCAGTTGAACATTCAGAGCTAGCAAAACTATCATCTTCTTCTAAGGATTCTACTTGTATGTTACATCCAGTCCCAAACAAGTTATTTAAAGTCATAGAGAAGCGGCTGTTCCAACCGTTGCACAACTTTACATGAGTGAATAAAGCAAATGTGATTGGTCGATTATCAAGACGGCGGGATTGTTGTGGCGGAAGGTTTGCAAGCAAGTTTGGTTGTGGCTGGTGTCTTGGAAGTCTCTTGCTAACCAGTTAGCAACTTAGTGCTAGTAGGTTCCCAATGGGAAATTCCATTGGGACCAAGTAGCACTAAATTGGTGACTTAGAAACAACACTGTCAAGGAACGCTATAGACAGAGGAAACATGCAAGAGGAGGACAGTTTAGTGTCGGAAGTCGTGGATGAGTCGCCTCCATAATACATTTTTTATTTATTTGTTTAGTTGTTGTGGAAGAGGGCGGCAGAAGCTTGGTTTGGTGTAGAAGGCTTACAGCCGTACGTGTTTGAGCCCTGGCCTCGCAACGCCGCCCATTCTGTTAGCTCTACGCCTGCTGAAGACACAGACGTCCATCCCCGTGAACACTGGGACGAAAGTCAATGGGAAAGGAAATTATTCTTATTTCTTCTTTCAACCATTGCATATGTTAGCTGCTGCAACATATGAATCAAGATGCTATGACCAAAAACATTTGATTGACAGATGACCGTTGATATATGATTGGCCAAATTTAGGTGTACAAGCGGACGTATAACTAACTGGCCTGCAGACGATGCCATAGTTTGACCTGCTAATTTTCTGTGAAAAAATAAAGATGAGCACTGGATATGATTAATAATATTAAAATATACTGTATCCAGGTACTGTACAGTATGTTTGAAGAAATTAATTTTTATACATTTTTATACATATCTTATACATATACATATCAAAATATCTTAATATTTTAATCAATAAAGCTTTAATGGGATAGCTTTGTTTTAGCAAATAAAATGTGTTGTGTTGTAAAAATAAGAGACCATTTCCACAAAATAGCATTTGTAAATTTTTTTATTAAGATAGCGCAAGTTATTTCTTGAATTTTCTTTTATTTTGGGAACATTTTTCCCTCAAACATAACTTTGCACCAGCTGGAATTGAACCAGCGACCCTGGAGTCTCTCTTCTCCCCTTCTACCCCAAACAAAAAAACTAAAATATCTGCATCATATCTGGGACAAGCTCACTGCGACACACTGCTGACACACTTACTGAAATCCTTTGCTTTGTCTTCTATCATAACAAATTTCTGAAGTGTGTTACAGTTGTAATGTATAACTGGTCTTGTCAATGTATTTGACAGTTTTTATAGAGCCAACCCACCCTGCAACACATTACTTGCGCCGGGCATACACTGTACGATTTTTTTGCCTTTTTTGGGCTGATTTTCCAGTCGTGCCAGAATTTTTTCGAGTTTCAGCCCCATTGTGCTTCCTGCGTTGTGTAGTATACAGGGGAAACGAGGTCAGGTATTGTAAGATCAGGAGAAAATCAAACATGTTTGACATTCAGTCGGCTGTGGTAGGGTGTTCGTAGGCAAATCCTGCTGTTGAAGCAGAACTACGATTTACCAGAACCTCGAGCACTGTGCATGTGCAAACAAGGGAGTTTTTCTTGTTGTTATTCTTCCACATCGATAAGTCCGATCTGCGCCATCTCTCGGCACAGATTAAGTCCAACATGTGGTTTACACGCTGGACTCATGAACAAACATCTGAGCTGTAAACTTCTATACCCTGCAGTTTCATAGTACAGTTTGAGCTGTAGCTGAGTACAACTATTAGAAATATCGTACAGTGTATGCCCAGCTTTAGAGTAGCGCAACATGGCACTGCCCTTGCCATTAAATTGTTCATAGAAAGTTTTATTTCTATGTTCACATTTTTCACGTTAAAAACCTTGATAATAGTACGTCGCAATCTAGTTTGGTTGACTGTTTTACTTCCATTTTCAGCCATTTGCTACATTTGTGTAACTCTTGTATAGTTCTTAAGATTGTAGTCCCAATATGGGAAGCAGGATTTCGGTTGTATAATGGCGCCTGTCAAGCAGAAGGCTGCCTGGATTCACCACAGCAGTCCAGATCTCCTATCCTACCCGGAATAGTGTTCTAACTGTTGACCCCGTCAAATACAAAGGGATATTAGCTAGGAACAGGAGGTAGGAGCTACAATTTTCCCATTTCAAAACGAGCCATAGCTTGTCTTTGTTTGGGAACAAGTTGAATAAACTATATAGCAGAAACATGATCTTATTAGATTCACAAAGAACCTTGGATTGCTGGTTATCCAGATGTTTTGTGTAACTCCAGAACTGTGCAAACATCTACTATGCCATTTTTGAAGTGGTGTGTATTAGAATTTTCCCTATACAACTTGTTCATTTCCAATACGATACCAATATTGCAGCTTTGTGAATTGGTATTGACTTTGCAAAACTGATATTGACCTAATATGAAATTAGCACAAATTGTACCAGTTTCATTACTTATTGTATACTGTAGAACGTTAGAAAAGGCTTTATAAAGTATCCTAAAAAGGGGGAAAAAAAGCAGAAGCTGAGTGCTTCTATCAGCATGAAGATATTGGAGATTTTAGATGTGGGCCGATAAAATACAATTTTAGTTTTTTTGGCTGATATCGGACCAATATCCGATATAAACATCAGATTGTGAAATCCATATCGTGCATCATTTCCTTCTATTATCATAGAAAATGGTTCTCATGTGGATTCCTGCGGTGTTTTGCCGCGGTGAATTTTCATGTGAGCTTTTAAATATTTTTTTCTAGAGTAACTTTTTCCACATATTACACAGAAATTAGCCGTCTCATTATTGTGAATAGAGAAGTGAGCTTTTAAGCTACTGCTTACGCAAAATCCTTTCCCACAGATCCCACACAAAAAGAGCTTCTCATCGGTGTGGATCGTCATGTGATCAGTCAACCTACCTTTTACGGTAAAACATTTGCCACAGATCGTACAGGAGAAAGGCTTTTCACCTGTGTGAGTTCTGATGTGTGTATCAAGATTAGACTTATGGGTGAAGCTTTTTCCACAAGACAGACATTTGAAAGGTTTGTCACCTGTATGAAGTCTGACGTGTGTATCAAGATTACATTTGTGAGTGAAGCTTTTTCCACAGGACAGACATTTAAAAGGCTTCTCACCTGTGTGAGTTCTGTAATGTCTAACCAGATGACTTTTCCTAGCAAAGCTTTTCCCGCAAGATACACATTCAAAAACGTTCCCACCTGTGTGAACTCTCATATGGTCGTTTACACGAGTTTTTGATATGAAGCTTTTCTTGCAAGTCCTACAGGAAAAAGTCCTTTGACCTGTGTGAGTTCTCAACTGTTTAGTCAAATGACCTTTCACAGTAAAATTTCTATGACAAACAGTGCAGGAGAAAGGCTTCTCACCTGTGTGAGTTCTGATGTGTTTATCAAGCGCAGACTTATTAATGAAGCCTTTACCGCAGTGCAGACATTCATAAATCCTCCCACCCGTGTGAGTTCTCATGTGAACTGTTAGATGTGCTTTTCTTATGAAGCTTTCTCCACATGTCAGACATGGAAAAGGCTTTTCACCTGTGTGACTTTTCGAGTGTACAGTCAGGTCACTATTTTGAGAATAAAAATCACCACAAGTTGTACAAGAGTACAAATTGTTATCTTTGTGAGTGTCCTCTTGCAAGTTAGGTTTTGAATCATCAACAGTTTCTTTACAATTTATGTTTTCCTGACATCTACTTTCTTTGGGCCCTTTATGTCGCTTTGAACCTGAGTCGTTTTGATCCTGCTTCTGAATTGTATTCGAGTCCTGAGGGATGAATTGGTTCCTGATTGGTTCTTTTTCAGTCTGGGTGTTTTGATGTAAAGGAGTCATAATAAATGTATCTTCAGTTTCCAGTTTGAGAAGAAGCTGCTCTTCATGCTCACTTATGGGGAGCTCTATTGACTCCTCTTTAGTCCAGGTAGTGTCTACTTCCTGGTGTTCTTCTTTCATCTGCAGAGGTCCAGGTTCCTCTTGGTCCAAACTGCAAATCCTCTCCTGTTTACAGAGCCGCTGGTCACAGAAAGTCTCCTTTTTGCAAACATAATCTTGTAGGTGGTCTGGAAACACAAACACAAGAGAAACGCTCTCTATTGTAGATTAAAGAAAGTAGTCCTCACTTTAAACCTTAATATGAATGAAGATACTTTTAAAATCCACTGACGCTAAAAGCATGCTTAGTGTGAGGGACTGCATCCGAGTCAATGAGTCGATGCAATCAACTGGTTTTCCTTAGACAGAAAACTTTGAATCAATTTGACTGGATGATCTGATGAACAGTTAAGTACCTTAAGATGAGATTTGTTGTGACTTGGGACTATATAAATAAACTGAATTGAATTAATATAGATATGTGTATAGAATGACTCTGCATATGATACACAACATGGAAAATGGAATTATCTAAAGATCCAAGCACCAAAGAAAAGGCAACAATATTAACAAAAGCAGAATCATTAGGAGCACATAATAAATGTAATAGATGCTCCTGCCTTGGCAGGACATGTTCTAAGAAGATATGTATTTTAATTTTAAATAGAACAAAAAAATAATGCTAGAATCATAATTCTGATTTGTCAGTAAAATGTCAGCATGTTTCATACCTATTCGGTGTAAAATGAGCAGGGGGGTCCTGGTAAAATCTAGCAGTCTGTGCTGATCGTCAATCTTTTCCTCGGACATACCAACAAGGCTTTCTCTGTGAATGTTTCTTCAGTAGGAGTTAAATGATGCGCTGCTTGAAGGTGGACTTAAACGTCTCACTCATAGATTCTTCTTCTTGTGTTTTTTCCGGTAGCAGATTAGCGCCACCTGCTGCCTGTCACTGGCGGAAAGGTGCACTACACGAGTCAAAATTCAGTATATATTTAAAAAAAAAACGGTTTATAATAACAGTAAATAATTTGATGGTATATTGTTGAACCATATAACAATATAATCGATCCTGACTGAACATACTGGGGAAGAAGAATCTTCTCGTGGATTTTTTAGGAGAGTTAATGCTGCTAACAGCTCACGACACATTTCTTCTTCATCATCTTAATGCACATCACACCCTAATGCTGCCACCTTCTGGATGAATTAAATATTTCATATTGTGACCTAAAACAGTTCAGATCAAACAATGAAACACAGTAATAGTAATGCATGAGAACCACTGATACAGTTTACATGTTAATATTAAGTTTTTATAATTATAGCAAAAAACAAAAAAAAAAACTACAACAAAAAAATTATTGCAAAATAGAAATTTAACTGATAATTCTTTTCTCTATAAATATTTTGGGTCTGTTTGCAAGTATAGTGGGGCACAAGGGGATATACTTGTGTGTGCTAAAGTGTTGACAACATTTAAATTGCTTATGTAGCAGCCTGCAGCACATCTACGTTCTTAGGTTTGGTGTCTCATCTTTCTATTTTCACCGGGGTTAAATTTACTACACTTTAGCAGAGAAAAATTTAAAAATCTGTTTTTTTGTTTTTGTTTTTCCTGAATATGTGAAACTTAATGTGACATTTACCAGTCCAGTAACTGGAAAGATTGGTGGTCAAATATGCAATCCTTTTTTTTTCTTTTTTTTTGGCCCACTGTGCTGCAGCATTCCTCAGCATGTGGGAATATATATAATAGTGTTGCTCCGATGCCGTTTTTTTGGCCCCCATACCTGTGGAGTTTTGGCCAATAAACAATACCATCTGTTTGAAATTGATGTGTATGTGCATATATGAAGAACTGCATACTATTCTGATGTATAATAATTTCCATCATGGCTTTTTCAAGCTGCTGCCTACCTTTGTAAAGCAGGAAAAAGACTAATACAAAGTAAATCCAGTAGAACGTGACAATAGTTGAATAAACTTTTGGCTCTCAAAATGACATTGGTGCGCTATTTGTTGATACTCGCCAATACCGATACCACCATTTTAGTGCTGGATCGAGGTTCCGCCCGATACTGGTATCCGTGCAACACTAATATATAACAATGTAAAAGGGCCCAAAATATTAGTCAAGGTGTGAATTAGCACATCAAATGTAACGTATTTGTTAGAATAATTGTATATAAATGTATCTGTGTAGTGTTATAATGCATAAAGCTGTGTGCTATGTTCATATGTTCCAGAGATGGGAAGTAACGAAGTACAAATACTTTGTTACTGTACTCAAGTAGATTTTTCTGATATTT